CTGAGTGTACTCTCGGAATTATTATTCATTCTGTTGTAACTCGATCTTGCTACTACAGAATTGATGCATATTTTTCGCGATGAGAACGTCCATATTTTCCATCTTAGTTTACAGAACCACTTGCTTTTGCTTTTCATCGGTGAGAAACATTTATCAGAATTGCTATAGTTCATCGAGACTCTGTAATTTGATTTACTTTTATCTGTCGCACAGATGTTCGAAATGGGCGTAATATTACCAAATCTATCAGTCTTCTTACCCTTGATAAAGAAACCAAAGTGGGGGCAAAGTTTGGCCTTCTTCGTCAAAACAATGCTTACACCTGCCTTCGGTCGGTGTTCGCGCACTATCTACCATGCGTTATAATTAAGTGTCTGAGATGATGTGTCAACTTCGTAAAGTACCTTCAATCTATACTAGGTTTCTCGAGAGTACCCAAAGAACCCCAGGGGTCTAAAAAAGTTTCTAAATTACAGACAATGTTCACGCGTCCCTACGGTCCGCGTTCGCAGCCAGCATAGGTGTCACACCTCCCTGATTCCACATAAAGCTCGAACGCAAGCACCTCTGTGCACCAATGTCAACGACACTCATTAGTGATTCTGTGTATGTATGTCCGGCACACTGCCACATGAATGACTATATGTATGTACGTCCGTCACACTCACTGGTTTCCATATGTCTGTACGTCGGTCACACTCACTGGCCACGTTATGTATGTGCGTCCGTCAGACTGCCACATGACTATATGTATGTACCTCCGTCACACTCGGTGGTCACCATATACATGTACGCTCGTCACACTCGCACACGACTATGTGTATGTACGTTTGTCACACCAGTGTACGGACAAACACACACACACAAATAGTTTCACTTTTTCGTATGACCATAGACTTACAGTCAATGGAATAAAGTAAAATTATTTGAAGATACATTTCAATCGTATTTCAACTTTTATGTATCAATATTTTTCATCAGAAAATGGTTACCATTTCAATGTGATACGATATACTTATCACGCATGAACATATTATTTGAAAAAAATATTGTAGAAAAGTGATTCGCAATTCAAGAACATAATGAAGAATGAGGAAACCGTGCAAAACGTTTTAATGTTGTGAATATAATGAGTTATTTAATAAAGAAAAAGTCACATGATATTAATCAAATACAAACCGAATTTCTTCAATTCTATCTCAAAATAATCAGCTTGAAAATATCCTAGTTGTTTACTCCATCATTAAGTTCAGATACATGTTCTGATCAGCATTCGAATAAGATTGTTTATTTTAGAGTTCAGCTATTCATACAATTCAGCATTTCAAGGTAGATTTATTTACTTCGTTCTAAATTTTAAAGTGGATGTTTCTTCTTCAAATTGGTAGAATTCGCGGTCTCTCATGCGCAGTTTTCTTACTTAAAGTTCTGATGCTTGAAGGATCCCGCGTTCTCCTCGTTGCGAGTATAAGTAGAGTTAAAAAAACAAGAATTTGATTCCGTTTCTTATGACAGAGAAAATATCTTCCCACTTTTAAACCAAAAGAGAAGACCACGAGAACTATTACAGTAAACAACTGTACAAAATTTGACTTAAAGAAGCTAAACAAAGTGAAATCAAGGTAGTTTTTTGTCCTGTCAGCGTGAAAAATAGAGTAGATTGTAGATTTTTAACATTGATTCAATAACTACCTGGCTTCGACGTAATTGGCTAATCGTTTAGAAACGCTGCGTCGAATAAACGCAGTTCAAAAATAAATTTTATGTGTTTGATCAAAGTTCTATCATCTAACTACGGTAGTTCCTGATCAACTTTCTCCCTAGATTCTAAACTAATTTTGTTCGTTGCATTTTCTTAGTTGTTTGATTTTCTTTATTGTGCACTTTTTACTTTTCCAATGTCCTTGTATCAAAAATATTTATTAAAGAAGAAAGATAGCAAAAAACAACAATATTGTGGGAAACCATAAAAGTTAACAAAGAGTTACAAAGCTAACAAAGAAGAAGAAACAACATCTAAATGCACGATTCGTGCAACATTGATTTTAAATTAAATTAATAAGAGAATAAATTACGAAAGTTTCTTTCAGTCATTCGATGTCCTAAAATGAGAAGCACAAGTAAAGTACTTCCAATTGTGTGAGCTATTAGGCTATTAGCTAACAATTATGTAAGGTGAACGCTGAACTTCTCACTCTTCAGAAGCAATGGGAGTCTAAAAAGCGCCCCTATTCTTGATAGTCAGAATTTTTCTGTGGACAGGGAAAGATATCGGTTTACCTAGATTATTAAAAGCCTTTCCATTTACAAGATCAGGTCATACCACACATCATCTTCGTCTTCATCTTCCTCGTCAACTTTTATTTCTTCCATTTGTATAATTTTAAATTCATTTGCAGCAGGTAGTGGTGTAGTTGTAGTTGTTGTTTGTTCCCAAAGATGTTTGAATAATAAATATAAACCAACGACAACAACGACTAGCAACAGATCCAGAACTGTAACGACGATGTTGTTTGAATTTGAATTATTATTGTTTATTTGTTTGATTGATGATGGGATGAAGTATTGTTGTGGATGATGATGATGAGAAAGAATCGTTTGACAGTGACAGTTTGGGTATGCGTTTAAACTTGACCACTTTCGACAGCTCAATACATAAAAACAACCTTATAAGCTGGAAGAAGTTGTGTTTGAAGTTTACATTTATAAAACTCACTTTTCTTGTTTCAGATGTTATTTCATTCTTTTATGCTATTTTAATGTATGATCAAATGATTAATAATCAATTATTATCAAAATTAAATAATGTTTTTTTTAAACTCCTGTAAAAAGATTTTTCTTTGCAGGGATAAGTGCACATGGGTGCAAAGCGATATCAGCCGATTTACAACCAAACGGTTATAACGTCATGTTGACCTGGCGTTTTAACCGTCGGGTTGATATGGTTAAAATGTCAGCTTAGAATGGATAAAACGTCAGCTTAAGAAAAGCATCAGATTTTGACGTTTAAACCATTAGGTTAAAGCGTGCACGTTTTTTACGGTGTAGTATTTATGTGACATTTCAATTAAATATTGTTTGAAACATACCATCAGTTGATAGAAAGATTTAATAATCACATCGAAATTGCGTTGTTTGGATCATAATACTAAGTTTTGCTATTGGAATATCTACCTTTTTGACTTTTCCATTTCTGTATTATTTTATCGTCAAAAGGAAACAAAAGTCGCAGGCTGATGCTCTGCGAATGCCACGAATTTTACATAATTCCGCATTTGAAATAAGTTCTCATTAACGATTCGCTTTATTCATTTTTCTAGTGTACTCGTCTTTTGTAATTCTGTACTATTAGTTTCCGATTATATTATACACGAAAGATCATGCTACCAACATGAAGACTAAAAAACAGCGAGTTCAAAAGTTGATTTTTTGATGGGTGGCAGGTTCAATAGAAGCATAAGAAAAACAGCAGTTAGTTAGTTGGTTAGTTAGTTAGTTAGTTAGTTTATTATTTGGCAAACAGCCATGAGTACAGAGTAGCGCAAGTTAAACACAGCTAATACAGAAATGACTAGAAGAACATATTCTGCCGCGCACCCATATAACATACTAAAAATAAAAAAACAGAAAAGAGAAAAAAGGAAAACACAACTAAAATTTGAACGTTACGATGACACTAAATGCTAACATTGTAATGGACTATGCAAACGAACTTTAAAGATACGCAGATTATATGCACTGCCAAGCGGCTCAGTTAGTATCCTCCCAGGCGAATAAAAAGTATCGAGTATTGGACAATCCTACCTAGATAACCCAATCCAATACCCAATATACCTAGATACAAGTAAAAAGAAAGTATTGAGTATTGGGCAATCCAAGCTAGCTAACCCAATACAGTAGTCGATATACCTAGATAACCCTATATTTTACCCCATATATC